GGAGGTGGGGAGACAAGACACCATTGCTGATTACTCGAGGGAACCTACTCCACGGGATGTTTTTGATACTTTCTCGACCCCTTCAAGCGTGTTTGACTTTATTTGGTCCGAGATCCAGGGTGTTGGGAAGTTCCCTCAAGAACTGTGGTTTTGCTCACTATATCATGCGCCTTGATTGAAGCAGTGGCAAGAACACACACATTTAGAGTATGATGGGTCAAAGACCTGACAGGGTGTGCCAGATTTGCTTGAGGCAGAGTTACCTCCCGGCCAGGGACCCGGGGAGGGCTGACGGCCTCAGGCTGAATGCAGGTGGTGTACTGCACCAGCCAAGACACTTTGCTTCCCGTGCTCGCGCACGTTCTGCTGCGTGGCAGATCTCCGCCGCCTATCCGTGAAGCTTCCGACTCCATATTTGGGTTATGCCCATTGGTTATCCCCTGAACTAAGCGGCGAAGGAAGGAGGCTAGGAGGGAAGGACACTTTGGGACTTTGAAGTAAGGTACTTCTGATCTTGACTTGGAGCTCCTGGGTCTCCCTACATGGATAGACTGGCTAATGAGCACAGGCGGGAGCAGCGGCGGGATACTGGGCTGTGATAGAGGTATGTTGAGTTCATCACGGCGGCGGCGGCGGCGACACACGACGCCACGACCTCCTCTACCACTTCGGGCTGACCTTTCTCCTCTCGACCATTACAACCAATATGCAGACGACTATGCTACCAGATTGGTGGGTGGCAGCAATGGTAATTGGCTTCTACAGATTTCCCAGGCGGCTATAATGGAGTACTGGTCTGCCGGGTAGTTCTCGTCGAAGCCGGTGTTACCTTCAGATGATGAGGATGGTTGGTCAAGACGATGATGATAGTGATCTCGACTTCAGGTGACTTGCTGCCTTGTCCATAGTATGTCATTGACGGACCTTTGTGGTGATAGATGGGCGTAAAGGAGAGAAGGCCGTTAAACTTAGGGATAGTTTCATTTGCTTATCTTTGTGGGAGGAGTATATGCGCTTGTTATAGGTTGTTTTGGAAACTTCATTGATGTATCTTGGATTTGTGATGGGTGTATCCTAGTAGATGAGAGACTTACTTATGCTTTATCTTTGTGTCTCTTGAGACATGATCTTTATCTATATATATCGGTGGTTCTGACTTGAGAAAATTTGTATGGAGTGCTATATTGTGGATATATATGTCATATTATTTTCATAAGGACTATGCATGCTAGAATAAATATTTGCTGTGATAAACTTATATTTGTTAACTTGTTGTGTTATATCTTATCATATGCATAATGGTTTCTCTTTGTAACATCTACATTACGGATTTGACGATTTGGGGAAGTCTCCTATTTGTTGTTTTAGGTATGTACAATTGACTTTGAGGGGTGTTTTGGCAATTCTAATCCATAAACTTTTATATATTAGGGAGATACTCTCATAAATTGAGCAAGTTTAAATGTTTATATCATTTGTAACTTTAATCAAGTTATCATCAATCTTCAAAAAGGGAGATTGATGCATCTAAGCGCATTGGTGGTTTTGAATGATTGAATGACAACACACTGATTCTGAGATTCTTAACCCGTTTTAAAAGTGTGAACGGGTGATGGGTTATCTCATAGATTCTTAATAGAAAGCCAAGAAGTGATGTGTTGTTGGCATGAACAATCTAGTTCAAAGCACAAAACAATGAAATGCAAATAGAGTTCAATGTGAAGCTTATTTTATTTGTAGGTTCCGTAACATAATAATAGATATAAACATGATTATTAGTTAATGAGACATGATGGATTATATGGAATGAGGTCTCATATCTGAAGCTTGCTAAATTAAAATGAAAAAGATAACAGCCTGTAATTCGGATGATTCAACCTAAAGATGTGACTTGATGGCGAAGATGGTGAAGATAGAAGGCTTCGGCGGAACTAAGCTTGAGGTGAGAGGCAACTGACGGCTTGGCTGGCGAAAAGAACCTAGCTAGGGTGAAGAAAGAAAGTACTTGCATTTAGTTGAGGTACTAGTCAAGCTAAGATGGTCATATTGATGTGAGAGGATCAAATCTATAATAAAGTATTTGATGGAAGTGACTTGATACATTTGGGATTATTCAAGCTTGATGAATGAATCCAAGTCACACATGCTCCAGAATGGCTATGCTCAAAGAGAGAAAGATCAACATCAACATGTTAGCACCCTTAGCGATGAAGATTGGAAGGGGCGGCATCAATTCAAAGAACAACTCAGTGTGGTACAAATTCATATTTCCGTTTGTCTTGAGTTTTAATAAATTATCTTAGATACTATTAGAGGATGCAGTCATGTTGATAGATAATGTTTCATAAAGTACTCAAACTAACCATGTGAGTTTTGCAGGTATTTGAGAGAAAAGAGCTATTTGATTTGTTGCTGGTCGCTTGGCAATGGGGCCGTCGTCCATTATTCACTCTGAGACGTGTCAGGTATTTATCAGCCATTATCAAATTGTTGTTCTCGGGTTGGGTGCGTCGGGAGTTCAGAAGCGTGGGTCGGGAGATTGAAGCGGTCGGGAAATCTGGCATGGGTGGGAAGTTCCGACGTATCGCTTTTCAACACACTTTGAGGTTTCAACATCACATATCATCTGGGATATGTCAGTATTACACGGATGTCCGATATATGGATGACGAAAACCAGCAGCTTTAATTTCAAAAGCCAAGTGAGGTCGGGAGTTAGGCGTGTAGGAGTTCCATGATCAGGAGATGGAGCATATCGGAATTCCCGGAAGCCACCTCCTGTTTACTTCGATTACATGTTTTCCAAAATTCTTGAGGGTCGGGGTTGAGCTTGGTCGGGAGTTAAATGATTGGAGAATCCGGCATTCTTGAGAATTAGATGCCTCTAACATCGTAACTTAG